TATCAGTACTTGCATCTGTGAGGACTTGGGCAAGCATCAGTACTTGTACTCGCAAAACTGGTATCGGTGGTTCCCTTTTTTTATATTTATAAAAACAAAATCATACTTTAAAACAGAGACGTACAAATCCCAGGAGCTCCATGTGCTCCTTACAAATGACAGCTGCCTCCTAACTTTTGAATTTTTCTCTAGTCTAGTCTTGGAGCTCGAAAAGTACCGGTACATGTACCGAGTATGGTACTTGGTATCGGTGCATCACTAGTTAGAACCCTTGTAACATTGTCCAAACACATCACACTCCTAACCTATAAGCCCCAGAAGATTGGTGGGTGCTGCAGTGGCAAACAGATGGTGCCGCTCAAATCAAGAACAAAGGTAATCGGCGCTCCAAGACTGTTGATCAATACATCTTTATTGACGCATGCTCATCGTATCACATAACCGCAATGTTTTGGGGCCACATAGGGTCCCCTTGATCAGGCAAAACAGGATCCCCTTGATCAGGCAAAACATTCATCACTGTTTTGCCTGATCAAGGGGACCATATGTGGATCTGAAACGTTGTCATCATGCAATATACGAGTATGTGTCAATAAATACGTATTGATCAACAGTTTTGGAGTGCCGGTAACCCTTGTTCCTCCTGGTTGGTAGATTCACCTTCTCTGTGTCCATGGTGATCTCTGTCATCAAAGCAAAACTGCTGTAAAATCCACCATTTTACAGTTGTCACCAGAAAAGTTGTTGAGAGTAAATCTTCCATTGGAGAACTTATTGTGGTGACACAATCTAAGGGAATCCCACTCACCTTGTATGGGATTTTCTCTCACTTCCTGTTGTATCTCTGAACAGGAAGCAGAGGAAAATTCTCCCAACAGACAGTAAAAAATAAACTGAGGGGTCTTTACCTTTCCCTACCCATATCTAGATAAAACAATTTTTGTAATACACACACTTTGATGAAAGGTAAAATCTGTTTGCACTTTGCCCCATTACTGCTGTTTGCATATGCTCACTAAGCTCAACAGGTTTAGTGTACATGCTATCATGTTATAGGGCAGCCAAAACATTATACATTTATAAAAATAATACAAAATCATATTTTTTTTCTATAAAGGTAATGGATTGGTTTACAAATCATGTCGGGGCAATAATATCAGAGAGAAGTTTTTAAATATACGGAGCATACTTGGGTCCAAAATTGGAAGAATAGCAATTAAAATTGAAAGAATATAATTTGCCATTAACCTGCACCTGTTATGTCAAAGTAGCTAAACTGGCCTCACAAAACAAATGCATGCATCCTCACATGTCTGCCAATACCTTTCTATGGGTTCTTCAACATCATGAACACATGGGCACTCTAGTATGGATATCTTGCCTTTTGCCAAGAAAGTCAAGGGCTGGCTCACCACCTCCAGCAACTCCCTTCTGAAAGCTGAGGCCTTCCTTTTGGAGGGTAGATCTGTTTAGTCAATCAGGTGATCCAGACACCCCTGACATATACAACAACTAGTTCCTAGTTATTGGGAGAAAACTGCTAAATTGATCAGTGTTCTATTAGTAAAAGTTCTTTATTAGTTCTTGCATTTAGGAAAATCAGAGGCTTTCCAAGTTTCCAAGGGATTATAAAATGCTGGAATGTTTGTGTTCTGGATGCTAAGATACTGTCAATAACAAAACAGAGTTTGCAGCATCCTGCAGATTTACTCTTGTATTAACAAAATTTTACCAGCGCAAAAACAAATTTTCTAGAATTTTATAAGCTCTGTTGAAGGGGGCCCATTTGGATCCCCATATGTGTTGGCTTTCTGCTAAATTAGAAAAGGAATAGATAACTGCTACTGCACACAATCAGTCTAATGACTTCCTTCCAATATCTTTGACTTCGTTGGGACAAGAGCCATGTTTCATTGGAAAGATGCCTAGTTAATAGTCTTCTATCAGGTAAAACACACATATTGGGGTTCTCACTTTATCATAGAGAGAAATGGTCCACACCTCAACATTTCTATCAGATAAATGAGCCAGGTCCATGACCTCAAATCTTTCTACTGCAGTTGAGAAATAAAGCTTTGTCAAGGGTCCACTCATAACCTGCTGACTGGAAAAGTGGTGATGAAAATAAAATAGTACAATATGATCATCTCTGTGTTCTTTCCCACCGTTAGCATGTTCATAGTGTTAAAACTTTGGAAAACAAAAGGTCACATTGACCATCCTACTCCCAGTGCCTCTGTGCAAGGAAGTGGATACAAACACATCCAGGTACTTACACTAGTAATATTTAAATATACATTTAATGATGGTTTAACGAATACATAATTGGGTAAAATGTGTTTTTATATCTGCCTTGAGACCAGCTTGAAATAATTATCAAACAATGGAGCAAATCAAAACTACTCATTCTCTTTTCCTCAACTTTACATAAATGTGAAGAAATAATTTAGCAGCTTCATTAACATTTCCATTAATTAATCGCAAAATGACCATATAATTTGGAGGCTGCTGAGCAGAGATAGAGTGTGTGGGCAGCTCCGATACAGGGCTTCACATATCACTGCACTCTAATCAGCCTCTGCAAGCATGGGCCATGCTGATTTGGTGTGGACAATATGGGCAGACACAATATATTTATCATGATTAGGGAAAAAAAAAGACAGACAATGGTGGCCATTAGTACTGTAAGCCAAATTAGCTAAATTAGCTATAAACTTCCTCAGTTCCAAGTCTCATTATATTTGAGGATTGACTGTAATTGCCAAGCACTTGTCTGCATCCTCGGCTACTCTTGCAATGTAGCCAATGAATTTATGCTTGAGAACTGACAATACCCAGAATTCCACGCAGGAAAATATGCTATATAGCCAACCGAAGGTTGACAATGAAGAACACGTCAGCGTTCTTGAACTGTGTGGTACAGTATATGGATGGAAAGTATTACAAATATTTATTCAAGCTGCTTAAAAAAAAAAAATCAATGTAGAAAATGCAGTAACACACAGCAACAAATCCAGATTTATCTCTCAATTATCCACATCCTGTAAGCTGAAACCTAAATGGCTTTTATGTAGAACTGCACCTATCACAAAAGTCAAATTAATGGTTACAATATATCTAGAGCAAGTCAACTTAATGCATGTTAAGTCGAAAATCTATGTTAGTCATTTGTGTTCTAAAAAAAATAACAATAAGCATTCTTTGCTTAAAGTGACATTAAAGGATTTCCCTCCCCCCCATGTTAATGTCAGCACTTACCTTAAATGATGTCTCTTAATCCGATCTTCCTCTTCTTTCCCCATGTTTTCATCTGTCCCTCCAGCGTTGCGGCGGCTCTCCAATCCAGCGCCGACTCCTCTCTGCTTACAGGCACTTCCGATCCAGCGGTGTCTGCATGCGGGTGCACACGTCCATAGGCTTACCTTGCGTCTCTGCTCGTCTCCCGGCCGAGAATCCGAACTGCGCATGCGCCTGCCCCAAGATCCTTTGCGGCCGCACGAACAGTTCCAAGCTCTCGCCGCGGGAGCGCAAAGCAATAATAAGGTCAGTCTAAACTGCTGTTTAAGCGGGTTTAAAAAAAAAACAACTTTTTGCCTATATCTACTGCTTGTCAGCAGTAGATATAGGCAAAAAAACGGGAGGCTTTAAGCAATCAAAGCTTGTTCATAATCCTAGAAAGCCTGCATGGTAGATACTGTTCTGCTAATGATGATCGTAAGCTTCTGTAAACCTGACATGTTCTGCGATTTCCTCTAGTGTAACCCTTCCGTTCTCCTCTAGCGTAACCCTTCCGTTCATACAACAAAAATGTTCTTCAAACCAACACCTCTACCCATGTGATCAGAGTAAGTCACTAGATTGAATTACCCACTAAATCAAAAGAAGAAGAAAACAAAATCAAAACAAGAAGCCTTTAATGCAGTAGAAATTTCCACCATTGGTCCTCACTTTTACTCAAACAATTCCTTATTCCTCAATTGGCAGGTGCAAACTAACATAGACCTCATATATATCCTCATAAAACAAAAACTCTGATAATGTAAGCTGGTAAGAGGCTCCACCTCTTAACTACCTCATGATTCCCTGTACTGGAGCAATAACGTCACCAACATGGCTGTTCGATTCGTCTTTATCTGGACTTTTTTCAAGGGTTCCAAGGAGCTCCAATTCTGGTCTTTTTTAAGAGCTCCAAGGAGAGTATCAATTGTGGAGGTTTTACAGCCTACTTACAGTGCTACTTACCTTTTGATTTAGGGGGAGTTCAGTCTGGTGAGATGCCCTGGTCACAAGGCTGGGTAGGCAACCTCAACTTTCCAGCTGTGGTAGAACTACAAATTCTATCATGTTTCTGCCTCTGGATGTCAGTGTTGCAATGCTTTATGTGATTTGTAGTTTCACCATAGTTGGCGTGTGGAGGTTTCCTACCCGTTATATGATGTTGCTAAGCAAGATCACAGATCGTTGGTGAAAAACAGACTATTTGGACTCTTTATTAGAGTTACACCATTACTGGACATTATCTTTTGTATTCATTTGTGTTCAGGTTTTAGGATTATTTTCATATACTGATATTTATTATAATCACATTGAAATAGTTTAATAGTTTTGGTATTTATAGGCTCTGTGCATGTTCACCTAATTGTAATCATATTGTAAATCTCAGGACTGGATGGACAGAGATATAAATCCTTTGACAGATAAGACATCCGTGTATTAAGCTGTTGTTCTGGAGGTTAGCATTAAAAACATAGATATTCTACAACTGCATATGATTAGGGTGAATTCTACATCCTAAATTGTTTGGGTTAATATACATTGCAATTCAATGAAAGAATAGACAAGGTTAAATAATACTGATTAGATGAGCTAGATCCAAGCATATTGTACGGTGCACTTGTGCCATGATTTATGACATTCTTTATTACTGTAGAGTGGGTTGTAGAATCAGAATCTTTGGGTTCATGTGGGGAGTAACCTGTACTACAAAAAGTAAATCTTACCAGAGATCTTTCAACAGTAGGTCCAGAGTTACATTTCTGGAAAAAACAATGACAAAATGTTAGAAATAATCAATTATTATTCATAATATTGTATAAACTAGGGAGATTGAAGGATTTAGTGGGAAAGACCATTTATAACATTGATCTGTATTGTCTCTTGGCATAGGAAAAATACACCATATAGTTTTTTTTTCTCATGCATGTCGTAAATAAAACAGAAATGGTTTGAAGTGTTGGGTCAGAATGTGGAATAGTAAAAAAAAAAAGTTATCCAGCTTTCATAGAGTGTCTATGCTGCCTGGGCCGAGGTGTCAGACGATCCCCCTAGTACCTATTTAAGTGAACAGCAAGAATGTTCAGCCGTGATAGCAGACAATAGACGCTTAAAAAAAAATAACAGGGCTCTTTGATGTTTAAATTAAATGTGAGGATGGAAATATGGAGAGCTGGCATTGCTCACCTGCTATTAAAAGGTGCAAGTGCTGAGACTATCATGCTGAGCCTGGTTTAATGATCTAGAGTAGCTAGAGTTTACTGTCAGATGTTGCAAGTTCTTTGAGCAGTGCTGCGATTAGCTCCCGTCTGATGGTGCCTGCATAGTTCTGGCACCAATGCCACTTGGCAGAACTAGTAGTATGGAACCAGTGGAGTTTCTCCTCTTTTTTTCAAGTAACATCTGTCACCAATGATGTTAACTGTCTATGAAAAGGTGGGTATTCTTTCCACTGACCACCAATTTAAGAAGCATTCTTCCTACTGACCCCTAATGTATTGGAACACTACACTGATCACCAGTATAATGGGCATTGTTTCCAATATCCACCAGTGTAACAGGGCATTCTTTCAATTGACCATCAGTGTAAGGGGATTGTCTCTCATTAAGCACTGATGTGGTATGGCATAAGGCACCAGGATTTGTATACATAATCATTTTAAGCAGGGCTTCCCCAAGACCTGAAGCCTTGGTGAAGTTATTTCAAGCATTCTTCTGTGGTAACAAGGTTAAGAGAGGTTGATCTAGAGAATCACTGACCTAAGTCAAACATAAAGGTCAGGTGTTTTTAAACTTTTCAGATTTCATTAGCTGCATGCTTGTCATAGGCCAGTGAATCACTAGCCAGGATGACAATAATTGCCGGTAGCCCCACCTCTAAAAACAAGTGCCATATTTAAATCAATAGGAATTTCCAAACCAACCAAGGAAGCTCTCCAAGCAAAATTGTCGGTAGAATTCTCCTCAAATGAACCATTTGCCGAGAGAACATGAAAGCTGCCATTGATGTCCCATCCAAGTAAACATGCTAGTTGCCTAGCTACAGGAACAAATACACATATTAAGAATTCTAATTTTACATAACTTTTCTTGGTCAGTGATTCAGGAAACGTTGAATCCAAACACAGTCAGGCAACTAGCATTTTTAGTCAGCAAAAGCAACCTATTTATTTTCTTTCAGTACAGGTTTCCTTTAAATATAGAAAGACTTCCATTTTGTATCTTGTTTTGTCATCCAAAAAGCTGCTCCAGAATGCAGGGGATTCAAGAATCAGGACCAGGCATATGTTTAAGCTTCCACTCACACCAGAAAAGCTGGCTTTAATGTGCCTTTGCAGTATGCTATATACATGTTTAGACGCAACATATTCAATGCACTTGAGGCATCAAAAATGCAGAACAGCAGCAAATACACTGTATGTATTCACTGTGATTTTATAATGAGCGTTATTGCAGCACATCTGCTGTGAGTGGAAGCAATAAAACATAAATTTTTCCATAAATCTAATGTTCCTGATCTTAAAAGTTCTCTATTAGGAAACACGTTGCATACATTGGGGAATAATGTATTGTATTTGTAGGTAAACTGGCATTGACATTAATGTAATTAGAGTGAAAAACGTTTATTTTGTAGTTTTGGATAAAGCAGTGAAGGATGAGGAATAGAGAAATAGTCAAGTTTTGCACTTTGTGTCCCTGTTATAGAGATCATCCGTCACTGCTTGTTCTGTGACCATTGTCACGAGAACAGAAAATGAAGATTACTCAAATTTTACAGTTGTCTCTGGAACAGGTTTAAAGGGTAAATGTCCTAGTAGAACTGTAAAATTTGGGATTTGCCCTATTTTTGGTGGAATTTCCGCTCACTCAAACTAAAACGTCTCAAAGGGATTTGTTAAGTAGGTCCTGTCCATTTGTGAGGTTGATGGAACCAGTGCTTGTAAAACCTATGTCCCATTAACAGCGCATGGCTACATGTACATAAAAGTAGATTCATCAGTGTCTAAAGAAAATGGGGTAACTACCTCTGCAAATATCCACAAATCATGAACTGTTGGTGGGACTCAATAATAGGTTTAGGAGGCACAGTGGTAAAATACTGCCAAATTTTTAACAGATGTTTCAAATGAAGGCCAGAACATTCAGTCCACAGGTGAACTTTGGCCTCTCACAGTAGGATTGGGGAGGTGATGTGGGGTTCATTAACAGTGAAAATCTGCTTGGAGAACTATGTCTGCTTTATTTCATCCAAAATGCTTTAATTCCACATTGAATGGAGATTTTCAAGCTCAAGCAAAAGTTGTAAAGAACTTTCAAGTGGGGTTAACGATCATCGGCAGACCCCCGTTTCCTGAGGATGTCTCCATCAGCTTACTAGGACACTGCAGCATTCATCTCTGGCTCAGGTAAATAGGCTTCTGTATAGGAAACACAATGCATTGTATAGCAAACAGATAATTGACAAAAGATCAAGGCCAGGGTCTGGTGGCTATTACTCCCACAATCCGTTATTCCATTTTGCTAAAGTGGGAAAAAAAAAGGACTTTTTTTTAAACTAAGACATAAAATTGCACTATGTACATGAGCTGAAAGCAACATCACAAATGTATGAGTCATTGTTCCAGGAAATTTTCACTTATAGGAAAACATTTCAAACTCTGTTTGCAGACTTCTTGAGTTTGGTGACTGAAAGTGTCTAGCAGAAGAATATTAAACCATCTTTTCCATAACATATCAGCCTTTCACAATTCTCACTTTTACTTTTAATATGCTCAAGGAACACTTAAGATAGCAGGTGATTGATTTTTATGCTCTATATGGTTTTCTCAGACTCATTTCAGATCATTTACACAGACATACATTTGTGAACGTTGCCATCCAGCTTGCCAAGGAATCATAACATCTACTAGTATTTAAAGAAGACCTGACAAATAAGAAGTAATAGAAGGGATCAAATACCTACTATTTGTGAATGCAAGACTTCTAAGCAACTTTCACCTATGACTGTCATGCAGTCAGGAGGGGAAGATCAGTCAATTTAATGCTGAATCTCCTCTTTACTGAAATTACATGACCAAAGCCTTGATTTTTAATTAGGTAAGCAGCACTGGAGGAAAAGTAAAGCAGCATTTTGACCTGGAAACACAAGTATTTCAGCCCTTCTTAAACTCCTAATTTAACTAACCAAACAAGACTATGCTTGAAAGTAAACCTGCCATAAGCAAAAAAACAGGGCTGCCTTTGCTAAACCTCCTTCTGAAAATGTTAGTTGCCTAGCTGTTGAGCCACTGAAAGCAGTGCTTTTCGAGCCAGACACTTGGAACTCTTGTGACTCAAGAAGGTCAACATGACAGCTGGGCTACTGGTATTGTCAAAAGAAAAAGCCAGAAGTGGCAGTTTCCATGTTTTTTTCATGGCAGGTTTCCTTTACGTGAACAGTTGGGTATAAGTCTGCTTTAAATATGTCATGATTACATAGTAAGCAACTAGATTAAAATACTTTAAAATATCATGGAACAGATTCTGCCACAAACTCTGCAGATTAAAAAAACAATGTAAAAAAAAATTATGAAGAAAGAAAAAAGTGTAGCACCTTTTTTAACTCTGCTTTTTGGCTGTGTTTCCCGGTAGGTGGCAGTGTGGTGACAGTAAAATTATTAGGGTCCTCACAGTCTCGGATTTTGGATTCCTTCATCAAGGAGTCAAGTCTCTTCTTGGCTATGTTTTCCACTTGCTTCCTATTGGTGGAAGCCTATAGATATGTAAACAAATGGGTGAAATTTGACCACTGCCCATTTCATTTACAAAATAAATAAGACTTAAAATGTTGGCATTTCTGTCACACATATACAATGGATGTAGCCATTTTCTGCGCAAATAACCTATCAATAAGCTAGGAACTAAGACTAGCGCCTAGCTGACTGATCGGCTGCATTTGATTGAGTTGGGGGAGCAAAAATGGCTTACTGCATTGTCTGAGGGCAATTGGCACATGATGCGTTACATTCGGTAAACACACACCGATATTTTGATGGGCATTCAATTAAAAACACTTGACTGGTAATGGTGCATGCAATATTATTACAGTCACAGGCAGTCATTCTGAGGAAGGAGAGGAAGCAAGTTACGGATTTGTCATAGCCTTGGAAAATGCAATGCCTTTACTGAAAGGCTGTTAATGAATTTGCTGGATGAAACATCTGCAAATATTAATTTAGCAGGACTTCATAGGAAAATGAGAGCGGTTTATGCATTTTTAAAATGATTTCTAGTCATATTGTCTAGACAGGGGAACTTTTAAGTAAAAATTGTAATACTTCTCCTTTTTGTGTAGCTTAATAGGAAATAATTAGGTAGTTCGATGTAAGGCAGATCATAAAACCAATGCCTAAAGTACTTGCTTTAGTTTCCATCTTCCAACCAATTAAAATAACATGAGCTAGATCTTACTTATAATTGTCTGTTTTATCTGAATTATTGGCTTAAAAAAACATAAGAACGATTGAAAAGGTGAAATATTGCTGCCAACTAGGGAAATGTAATTCTACCTCGTTAAGATATACAACATTTTTTTTTTTCATATCTGGAAATGTTTCAAGTGCCAAGTTTCCATCCAAACTTTTGTTTTGGTTTATATGGGAAATGGTTAGAACTAGGGATGTCCAGATACCGATACTAGTATCGGTATCGGGGCCGATACCAGGCATTTTCACAAGTACTTGTGAAAATGCCCCTATTCTTAAGGCAGATGCCAGTACATTTTTAAACCGCAGCAGCTGGTGACCTGCAAGTAGCTGTCCATGGCAGTGCCTGCCTGGTTCTTTATCTCCTCCTCCTTCCCGGCGCAGGCACAGCCATGGATAGCCCCACGGGCAGAACTACAGGAGTGACCGCCCCAGTGTCCAAAGCTGGGGAATCCCTAGTTAGAACCCTGTCTGCTGATATTGCTGTCTGACTCTCCAGATTTCACGTTGTTTCCCTATCCAAAGACATTGTTACATACAAAGGGTGTCACCATGACAGGAAAAGTGAGCAAATTTCCCCATCAGGGACATAGACGGTAATAAAATCCAACACAGGATCTTAGCCTCTCTCACTACCCCCCCCCATTTTTTAAAATATATATATACAGGGGAGACTGACCCTGGCTGGGGGGCCTCAGAGCGGCAGGTAAAGGGTCCCAAAAGGGGGAAAAAAAACCAGGAAACATTATCACGGTCCTATGGCGAGGACAGAAAAAAAGAATGTGTGTGGCTTGGAGGAGCCTAAATTTATCACGTGTCCTGTGGGTTAAGAGGGGCGGATCTTAACCCATGGTGTGCTGCCAAGATGCCCCAGGAAATATATATATATATTTTTTTGAAGGTGGCCTTTACAATTTTAAACCCATGGCAAGACTAAGCCCTTCTTTAAAAACATTGATTTAATTCACCAATGATCATGTTTCAGTGAAACCGCGCCCAGTCTTAGCAATTCCCTCTCCTCAGGAGTGAGAATCCCCACTTTTCCCAAAGGAGCAGGGTGGATTAGAAGGTATTGAAAACATTTATACTTTTAGTAAATGGACACAGTTTTTAACTTTATGGTATGAATGTTAAAAAGAAAAAGATTAACTTCTCATTTATCATTTCAGCTGTAATTTTTTTTTCAGCTTACAGCTGAACCCCACAGGGAGATGGGAAATTAAAAAATTAACACATAACTGCATTCATTAATACTTCAATAAATGTTCTTTTATTACATGCAAGCTGCATAAGTTCCTGAATCTGACTTGATGCACTTGATGTAGCAGACTAGAGCAGAGTGACAGACCGATTATTTCACCAGTCTACTGCTTCTCCTTCCACTGTCCAGTCACAGGGTGAGGGAAATAGATATGGAAGTGTAACTTAACTGCAGCTGAGAAGAATCAGGTCTCCTGCTCTCCCAGACAGGACTGTGCTGTGTGAAAGAGCCATGTAAATCAACAAATAGCTAAAATGGCTCTCTTGTACAAATGTTAGCTTTATATCTAGCAATTTGCCTGGAGTTCAGCTTAATTGTGTGAGGGTATTGAATAATTGTTCTACTACTAGGAATGTAAGAAAAGTATATAATGCCTGAACAGCTCTATAGATGTATTGACCCAGTTGGCATGATACATCACACACTTGTGCAACAAACGGGAAATGTTTTTAGGAAATTCACCATAATGCCCAGTGAATAGCAAAACCCAAAAAATGCCAGAGCAAAATATAAAAATAGATAAACAAAGTCCAGTTGATGCAGCCATTAAATTGTATCCGCTAGTCCGTACAGAATTATGTGCAGCAAGCATTTACAAAGCAGTTCAAATTTGGGCTGCTTCCGTGCAGATTGTAAATCACCTAAAGTAAAAAATTGTCTTTAGGTTTGCAGGTCCTTTGTACTCTTGCCATTAAGGAAATGGTGGTGATAGACTTTGCCAAAGTTTAACCTTCTGGAAGACAATGGAAAATGTGAAAATGGTTTTTACTTTGGTCATTTTTAAGGATGCAATCGACTTCAAATTGTTCCTGAAGGTCATTAAAGACTCTTAACTATCCTAGACTGGATCTTGTCCCAAATAATGGCCACTCATTGGTCTTATTTGACTTTTTTCCATAGAAAGAAAAACACAGATAGCAAAAATAATTTAAAAAAAAATGTACTGCAAAAATATACAAATACTCACACATGCAAAAAGCTAAAAAAAAAATACACCATCCAAAAAGAAACATTTTGCCCTAAATAGCTCAATGAGTAAAATAGAGAGTTGTTACATTTGCATCAAACATTTTTTTGGCTAAATTACTCTGCTCATCTCTACACTTCAGTGACCCAGGCACGACAAAAAGCAGGTTCTGCGTGAGGCAGAAGCATGGATTGGCTCCTCAGGGACTGTAGTTGATTAGCTCCTCTATTGTTGTCAAAGTTTGACATTCCACACATGCACCATTACTGCCAATAGATTCTAAAGGGTGGGTCTCAGATTGGAGAAATATAGCAATCCCAGATATCCCCCGCTCTAATCAACAACACTCTCTGCAGAAGTATCGTCAATTGAAGTGTAGTGTAGGGGACGCACCTGAATACTGAAAATCTGGACTGCTGCTCTAACAGAATGCAGCAGTTTTAAGGTGCCCATACACCTTACAATTATCTGGAGATTTTTGTCTGTGATCGCGTTTTCGGCCGAAAATCTGCCATTGGTGGAAAATTCACAACCTCAATTTGTGTACAACGGGCAGATTTTTGTCTTTCAAGCAGACTAGAAAACTTCCATCTAGTGGACAAATGTTGACAGGTTAGTGGCGTCGTTGTACAACAAAAATCTCAAGATGAAAACTGCACATGCTCAAACGAAAATCTGTTATTTCGATCAATGAAAATCGGCCAGTTAGTGGTGCTGACAAAAATGTATTGCAAACTATATTGGTCTGTGCATGATGGGCTAGTTGAACGAAAATTAAATGAGGGTGTGATGTCTGGACAAAAAAAGTTGTACAATGGTTGTGAGGTGTATGGCCACCTTAAACCTCCAGCATGCTGCTGGGGAAGGGTTGCTAGAAGTAAGGTTGAAGCACTGTTTATAAAAAAAAAAAAATGCAAATAAATCGTTTATTTTTATGCAGCCCTGCTTCATAGGAAGGGGGGAAAAAATAAAGCCACAATTGGGCTTTGAATAAAGGCCTATAAGAAGTGTATTTTATATGTGTAATGTAGATAAGATTGTTACAGAAACTTGCATAAACTGTGCTTTTGCCTAAATGTCAGGACCAACGTTTCAAGTGGCGACAGAAATATAACGTGATTTCTATCTAGAGACTTTTATCAAAGTAAAAGGTAAAACCTTCCATTCGTCAGCATTGAATAAATTTTCATAAATCTCCTCGCAAACTTCTCTTGAATAATGGGATCGGTCTGAGAAGTTCTAACATTTGCGGATTAATATTTTAAATGTTGCTGGCAGTAAAGAGCAATATTTGAACTTTTTCAGTTGGTTATTCATGAAATAAAAAAAAAAAACCCTTCTGCATAGATGGGTTGGAGAAATACAATAGCTTCACATGAAGCGGTTTGAAATGTGATTTCAGCACCCGCAGTACTAAATATCTTCCAGCAAAAAAGAAAATTGACTGATAATGGAGAAAAACCTAAAATCCATTCTATTTTACTGTATAATTGCAAAGCTCGTCTCGAGGGATCGCATTATTAGCCTTAGCCTAACCCTCATCTAAAGATATGTCACAGCCACTAATAATTTTGACTAGTGAACTTTCATTTCATGATGATTATATGACGTCCGTGCACTCCAGATGAACTAATTTGAAAGATGCACTCTATTACTAATCACAAATAAGTACGCCAGAATGAAATGGCTTAATAAATCACAAGAGGCCTCTTAAAGTGGACCTGAACTCAGAAAGTGAAGATTTGGCACCTTAGAGAACATCTAGAAGTGTAAATTGAAGCTAAGCAGTATCCTGAACAATCCACCTTTTGCCTTATATTCCTCCATAAAAACGGCAATGCACTTCCTGAGATGGGGTTGTGCCTAGACGCTCCTGTTCTCTAAGCCTCATAGGTGCATATCTGCAATATGACAAAATCTTTTACTGCTAGTCTCACAAGATTATAAAAACATTTTGGCAATGTCCTGTATGGTTTGCTCACTGTTCTCTTTGCTGGAGAGAAAGTTGTATGCAGTGCAAGAATTTCTCTGCTACTGCTGCATTCATTCTGTGAATCTGCACTTCCTCCACCACTCCTGCCACTTCTTGAATATAAACCTACTAGTTATCCGATTACCAGCCATTGGGAGGAAGCTCTCACATGAAGAAGTAAAACCCTGCTCCTTTGCCAATAAGGCCGCATCCATATAGGGACAAAGGTGTAACAATGTATGGCAAATTAAGTATAGGAAAAGAGAAATGTTTTGGGTATATATACTGGCATCAACCAGTCTTTTGTGTCTGAGCTTAAGCATAAGAATGTGGCGTTTCCATGAGTACATTTATGTTTTGGAATAAAATGTAAAAAAAACAAAATTATATATCTTAGTTAATATTTACCCTTTTCATCATAGCAGGTGGAAAATGCAAGTGTGATATTTAAGGTATTGCATAGATGCTTTACTGCTAATCATATAGACCTGAACAGGATGAACTCTGTGGAGGGACAGACATCCCTCCTCTTCTCCTGTAAAGATGGTGTTATTATGGTGTCTTCAGCTGCAGGAGCTGTCAAAAGGGCACAGCTAATGCTGGGCTTTCTTAATAGATATCCCGGTATAAACAGCACACACTTGAGCATGGTAGAGACATATACAGTGGGGCAAAAAAGTATTTAGTCAGCCACCAATTGTGCAAGTTCTCCCACTTAAAAAGATGAGAGAGGCCTGTAATTGGCATCATAGGTAGACCTCAACTATGAGAGACAAAATGAGAAAACAATATTTGTAAAATAATGATTTTATACAAATATTAGTGCTATAAACTTAATAAAAATGTAATTGTCCAAAAACTACTAATTGTTTCCCTTTAATAAGATGCAAGCAACAGTGGGGTACCACACTAACCAGTTAAAGCTGGTCAGCAAAAACTTTGGGTGCCCAATAAAGTATATATGAACCTACAGGGGTTATATTACTATAAGGCATTGGATTAAAGGTTAGGTCTAGTGTTAAGGGTTTAAGACTGTTTAGGTTTAAGAAGTGATAATCTAAAACCTGGACTAAGTGTCAAGAGTAACTATTAAAATAAAGGTTAAGCGTTCCGAGTGCACTAAGGGTTACAGTTTGGTATGGATGGGGTTAATTGTTAGGGTCAGGCTAGCAGCTAGGGATATGTTAGAGACCAGGGGAAGTAAAGGGCAATTGTTTTTGGAGGTGTAGTAACGAGGAGCTGGATTCAAATAATACATTGGAAATAATAGCGTATATTAAAGAGTTCAATTTCTCTGGCTAGTCAGCTCTCATCCACGAAAGGTCCTCAGGGAGGCAATTTGGATGGGATCCAGTGGATACAGAAGAAACAGAAGCACCATGCAGTCAGTTCAGAAAATATATTTCTCCTTACAAAATATGCAATGCATTTTAGGGATTTAAGGCACTCCCTTTAAGCCTGGAAAGGCTGACTGAGGAAGGATGTTGTACTCAAAAGGGTAATAAGATATTAAAAATTGACACAGTAGATCTGGTAAAGAAAGCTTCGGTAGGTTATTTGTTCTAGTCTGGTTCTGCTTCTTAGGAATGAGATACAGTGTGTTTTAGAATATCAAGGCAAGAGAAAAAAAAAGGCATGCAGACAGAATTGACAACATTTACAGGACAGGATCTGTTCCAACGATAACTCACAAAACTAGGTCTACTGTAAGGAAAAAGCACACAGAAGTCACAGCTGTATCTGAAATCCCACTGCTTGTTACCAAAACTTGTTCTATGCTGGGAAAATAGCGAGTTACTGAACCGTGATCATGGAAGCAGCTGATGGGTTGCAATGAGCAATACAGACAGTGCCTTTTACTTTTTGGGAAGTGGTCAATCACAAAGCCCATTTACACAATTATTTACCATTTTTAAACTTGGAGTTTGGGGCTTAATTTAGAATAGGTTAGTAGAATAGTTTCCTAATGCCCAATTCCTTTAAAATACACAATGTTTCAGTATTTAATTACCCTTCATCAGAAGAAATGCTAAGAGCCAAAATGTTATTTTGTATAATATGAATCCTGAAGATGTCAATGCTAAAGGGTCAGTCCACCTAAAAATATTTTAGTTGTAAATTGAGCTGTGTGGGCCAATTCTGTCCCTGGCTTCTTTGATGCCTTGGATACTCCAGTAATGAAATCTCCTTGCCAACATTCCTGTTTCTGGTTGGGATTTTTGGATGTTCCGAGCAACCTTTGTCAGTTCCAGCTCCTCAAAATATCAATAAAAATCCAGCAGTGAGAGTGGGAATCCCTCATAAATGGACAGAGGGGGACCTTTACTAGCAACATCTGTCTTTCTCTGCAGCCTATTCTTGGTTGTCACTGCCTCTATGCAATACATTTTATTTAGCCTTAGTGCTTGTTCCAACCAGATGCACTGATAAAACACAAAGAAATGCAAGCAGAATTGCCAGCATTTTTAGACATATTGAGGGGAATTTATCAAAACTGCAGCAGACAAAATCTGGAGCAGTTGCTGAGGGCAACCAACTCTTCAGTTTGTACAGTTAAGATTTGAAAATGAAAGGGAGAAGCTGATTGGTTGCCATGCACAGCTGCTCCAGATTTTGTCTGCTCCAGTTTTGATAAATTCCCCTCACTGTGCTGCATTTTTTCAAGTACACCATTCAACTTCGTAAATGGCAGAAAGTGGGGCAATGCACCAGTGCTGTGTGCAGCAAATTTTTCCAACATAGCATAGTATGCTGTTTTAAATCGGTCCTATAGCAAAGTAATGGGTCACGGTTGTGCACTATGCTGCATTTTTTTAATGCCATTGTGACCATGCAAATATGCTCATATGCTTAGACCTGATGAAATATGTTGGAAATCTGCATGTCATGCCAAAACTCTAGTCATCTGCTTCCCCATAATCACCCATCTTCCCCAGGACCTAAAAAAATCAGATAGACATGTCTAGTGTATTAAGACACTCTCAAGGAGACTACATAGAAGTTTTTACAATATAAAAACTCCCAAGCACTCATCCAGCTAGTTTTCATACCGGTTAGCAAATGAATGCAACAAAAACCTCTGTAACCTACAAGTTGAAACAGTGTAATGGGATATTTGTTTGCTGGCTGGTTGGATCGAGGGCTGGAGAATATTATTCTAATCAATATACTGTACCGTGTGGCACCTTTCATCTCCTAGTGATAAATTGATCAGAGTGGCTGTTGGTTATTTATGTCATGCACTCCAGCCCATGGTTTCCTTTTTATTTTAGCAAGACCAGACCCACCCACTGTGAGCCGATTAAACATTTCAGCTCTAGTTCTGCTTTAACATCAACTCCATATTGGCAAAACAGAGCCTGGCACCCTGTTGCTAATCGCAGAACAGGTTTAGGGGAAACGTTAGCTTGATTACAGTTGTCATTCCAGTCTAATTCACCCCAGTATCTCAAAATAATTTTCCCAGCTAGCGCCTGGTAACATAATGGATTTCTGCTGTTTGTCACCCCGTCATCACTATGCGGACCTGCAAGAATTGCATCACAAGGGTTGAGGACACCTAGCGAGGGAAGGGACATGGTTGACTTTTAGGTGACGGGCCAAGGGATGTGTACAGTACCTTCCACTTCATATACGCATGCAACGATGAGCAGGAAAAACAAAAAGACAGACCAGAAGTCAAACATCACACTTTATCACATAATAGCCAAAATTACGCACACAGAATCCTTACACAAGTCATAGAAGCATTATGTCTACAAAACATTGATTTCTCCATGTTAGCCACTTTACATTACCAGCATATATACCTTTACATCATGAGGCTATTTAGTATATTGAAAGCTAGCATGTAGAGCCTAGAGAATACACTTCATTTAATCAATACTGCTCAGTACTTATGTGTGCTAAAATATCAGACTTGTCAGAAATATGCAGCAGAAGGTAAGTCTTATGTATCCTGAGAGTCTACAGACACTATAAATACTAATAATAATACTAATAATAAATATATATATCCTATTTATTAGGGTAAGGACTGCATTATAAAATGTTTTTAAAAACTATATACATTTTTACAATTGAATATGTTGCATATGAATATTTAGCATTTGCAATCTGTAGATGGAGCTGTTGAATACTTTGACATGTTTTTTAGGCTTTCATCTGCTTTGCTCCGAAAAAAAATGCTTGTGCTTACAGACCTCAATATCTCAGCTGACGTTTACACACACACACACACGTGAATGAGAAGTGACCCATCCCCCTTGCACAGATCTGTATGGGAGATTCGATCAGAGACCGCATCTCGAAAGAAAATAATTTTGTATTTAATCTTTAGAAATCCCATAATGCAGTGCGATTTTAGGGTAATGACTGAGCCTTATATTAAACAGGTCTAAGCCAAAAAAAATATTTTTTAGATTAAAAGAGACAAACAAATCAAGTTAAAAACACAAACTTACATTTTTTTTATGATAACATTCACCCAAAATCATTACAAGTTCCATTAAATGTTATTAGGCTAAAATAGTTTGTGTATTGTACAAGGACCTCTGATTGGGTTCCATATTTTCTTCTATCCAAAACTAAACAGTTGCTTTATATTTTATAGAGAGCAGAAAATTAGCTTGTTTAATACAGTGATTATATTGAGGTTTTTAAACAAAGGGCAGGGAAGACAACTTCTTCATGGGTACTAAATAAAAGGGGCTTCTGAACAAAGCACAACAACGTGAGCTTTATTCAACAGAGCAACAGAGAAAAGGTAAGAATTCCCCTTAGAGCCCAACTAAACTTTTAGTTTAAATCAGTGAAATACATTCCAGGTGCATCAAAACAAAAATGTGCCCAAAGTCCGTTTTTATTCTATAAAAATCATCCACAGCCTGAGTGGAAAAGAGTGGAACCCTTGCTTTCTTTGGGGAAGTAGTGGTTTCTCTGCAAAGGTTCAACACCCCCTCCTACTGAATCAGTCCTAGAGCTCTCCAATCAGTGTGAACTTTGCCTCTGATTGGAGCCGTAGGTCTGACTCAGTAGGGTGTGTCAGTCTTCTACATAGAGACCACTGCTTCCACACAGAAAGCAAGGCTCCCACTCTGCAGCTATTGGCAGGAGACAGCCTTTTTTTTTAGGGAGGATGTGGCTGTAAACTGTAAGGCACTAAACATTATTTTGTTTTGATGCCCCTGGAATGTATTTAGCCGAATGTATTCTGTAACTTTCTTCAACTTGGTAACAATCACTGCCCAGTGACATTTATGCCAGCACCCCCTCATTCCCCCTTCCCACCCACCTCAGAACTACAGCACATTGCCTCGGACGTTGAATACCTAAGGGACAGCCCTGTCTGGACCAGCCAACTGAAAAACAAAATACAGACTTGCCTACAGGCAGTCTAAAGAATGCATATGTCCAACAGTTATACACCACACAGATAAAGTGGTGTCTACATTTGCCCACAGCAACAATGTCTGAACATTTCCCAATAAACAAAATGGATACTTCAAAAACTTGCGCTGACAAAAAGTGACCAAAACAGGTAAAGAACATACTTACAAAAAGGTAATTATGTCACCATGAGCCTTTGTGATTACATACATCTGAAGGTTGGAGTTTATGATCTATGGAATCTAGATATATTGGAATTTCTCCTTGTTCCACAGAGATCCTAAATGAGGAAAAGCTTGTGGCAGAGAAAAGCCGCTTCCAAAATCAATGAAAAGATCAGGTAGTGGTGGACCAGGACATAACAGATGAAGGAGATTTAGAAAGGCAAACAAAGCAATCTGCTGTATTTACTATAGCAATATCGCAATATCCACCTAACAATACCACAAGCCAGTAAAAGCACCATTGTCTAGACAGGAATGGAATATCCCTGTTTCCATTGACCACCAGTGCAATACATAATACAACAGACACTTTTAGATGTAAAAGAATATCTCTATATCCAAGTAGGTTTTTAATGACAATGTACTAGACATGACAACATAATAATGTTGTTATAATAGAATTTGAACTTTGTTCTTTAAAGTAAACCATTATATTGTCCATTCCATTGCTAGAGTAGTAATCACCTGTATTTGTCTTCCCCACTCTCTCCATCACAAAAAAATACCCAGAACTTATACCTTATACAAGAGTTTCTGGGGCTCTAGCAGTAGATCAGGGCAACATAGGGAAGAACATACAACATGTCTCTTGTAAAGTGGACCTTCTTTGCTCACTATGGACAAAGTACAGTTTGAGGTTAAATCTCATATACGTGTTGACTGCGGTTTGTAAACCACATGGATCACAAAGTTCTCCACAGTTCCCTTCTCTAGTGCTTGCCTCAGTCAATGAGTATTGGCACTCATGAAATATGGTCATACAATGCACTGTAGGACTTTTGATCAAATCAAAAGGGCCTGTTCACACCAGAAGCATTGGGAATGCCCTGGATGGCTTTTCCAGTGAAGCCCCAATGCACAGAAAAGGCATTTTAAAAGGAAGACTTCCCAATGAGATCAGCTGGCCAAGAGTAATCCTTGTCCCAATCTCTGGACCAGTGTGAGAAATAGAAACACAAAGCGCAAAGCTCACCCCTATCATGCGTCCTTGTAGTCCACATTCGGTGTACAGATGACTCTCTTCTGGAGTGATAGGTTCAAAAACTGTAGGACCAGCACACAATGATTTTTTAATGTGATCACATGGACTGTTTATTAGATACAGGTGTTCCTAAGCGTTTCTCCCCACCCTGTGTGGTGTGCTATTTTAGTGGGGTTGGTGTTAGATCACAACCAGCTTTGACTAAGGCTGAGCATATGAATAAATGAACAATGTTGGTGGAGTTCCAATTTATTTCTAGAAGAAAAGTATAATTGATTTTATTTTTTTACATCTCCGAGACATTCCAACATGTCAGAAACATACTGCATGAGTCCTTCTGCTGACAACATGAACCCTAACCTCTGTGTGGTCCTACTACATCTAGTGATGCTCAGATTTGTCACATTGTTTAAACATACCATACAAAAATAAATATTAATTCTTGTGTGACGTGGCTTGTGATAACAGGACATTCATCAACTTTAAGGAAGAAACATACATTTTATTTATGTATGGGGTGAGAAACTTGTGGCATTTTCACTGATAAGCAGCAGCAGAAAGTTAAATACATTTCCAGATCAATAAAATGTGTCTTTATGACCCCCTTAAGGATCCTTGCCGAGACACAATTTATTCTTCCCGTGGAGGTAAATATATGGATTGCAACAGTCATAACAGATTCTCCAGAATACTAAGAACAGAATTCCATCCCCCATCTTATTTCATGTTCATCCAAACAGGTCTAAGGGTGGGAGATTTCCTGTCTCACACAAGAGATTAAAGGATCTATGTCCTATTGCTAAATTCATTAAGCCGCCCAGCCCTCCTGTCAACTCAAGATCAAGAAAAGGCGAATTCGGCGGCTGAGGGGATTTGAAGAGAACCGAGAACACTAAAGTAATATGAAAGATTGAAGTTAAAAGTGAGAGCTCAGAGAGAACGAGGAAAAGCTCTGCTGAACCATTGCAAAGACAGACAGAGCGGTAGACAGACAGAGCGGTAGACAGACAGAGCGGTAGACAGACAGAGCGGTAGACAGACAGAGCGGTAGACAGACAGAGCGGTAGACAGACAGAGCGGTAGACAGACAGAGCGGTAGACAGACAGAGCGGTAGACAGACAGAGCGAAAGCGAGCAAGAGCGAAAGCGAGCAAGAGCTAGAGAGTGAAAGAGTGAGCGCCAGAGAGCGAGCGACAGCTAGAGAGCGAGCGACAGCCAGAGAGCGAGTGACAGCCAGAGAGCTTGAGAGCGAGAGTGAGCTAAAGAGAGAGAGTGAGAGCGAGCGACAGCCAGAGAGCGAGCGGGAGTGAGATAAAGAGAGAGAGCGGGCGAGAGGGGGGGGGGAGAGAGAGGGGGAGAGAGAGAGGGGGAGAGAGAGA